AAAGGGAAATCATGTTTAGCCGATTTATTGGAGTTCTTTGAAGAAGTAACATGCCATGGATAAAGGGGAGGCAGTGAATGGACTGTACTTAGCTTTCCAGAAGGCACTCGATAAAATGCCATATCAAGGTTATTGTGGAAAATTAAAGCTCATGGTGTAGAAGATTGGATAACTAACAGGAAATGGAACAGACACAAATGGGTCTCTTGATCGGCATGATGTAACGAATAGTGTGCCACAAGGATTACTGCTGCGATCAAAACTTTTACAATTTATATAAATGGCATGGAAAGGATGTTAAATTTGCTGATGATTCAGAGATAGTTGCAAAGTCAGTTGTGAAGAGCACATGAGGTGGCTACAAAGTGATATAGATAGTTTAAACGAGTGTGCAAAGATCGTACAAATGGAGTATAATGTGGGAAAGCATGCAAATGTCCATCTGGCGGGAAGAATAAAAAATTGAGCATATTATTGAATTGATAGTACATTGCAGAGCTGTGAGATGCAGAGGGATCTGAGTGTTCCAGAATGAACAATTGAGTGCATATTAATTTGACAAAAATGTAATAAGTCTTGTTTGTGGTGTGTGTTTGTATATATCTATTTGGTTTTCGTGTTATAATTTATTTTGCTTTGTACAGTTGTCCTGACTGCAGTGGTGGTAAATCCTGCATGTCTGTCAGTAGTTGCGTTTCTGCTGCTACTTTGTATGTTGCAAAGATTGTTTTTAATGCAATTGTATTTTTATGTATTTAAAATTTAATTGGTAACAAAACTCAATCAGTGCAATTCTTTAGAAGGGTTTGAATATCCTTGGATCCCCATCATGACTTTAAACAGTCAAATGAAAGCACAATGGCAAAGACCTGGGAGCAGATAACCAGTCTTTCCCATGAACCTTCAGCACAAAATGCAGCCAATATAAATAGAATAAATATTATGTAAAGAAGATGCTGTCGAAAGATGGCTGTAATTTGATGCCATTAAACTTGAACCCCGTTTAATACATATGGCTCATCTGACCTATCTTTACCCAACATCCACACTTGCACACCATTGGATAGTGATCAAGAAAGGAAACTGACTGACTTTTATCACCCCCTCTTCTGCCTGTCCTCATCCTAATGCAATTTGTGGGTATCTTTATTGTACCCCCAGTTACGATTAGGGAACCTAACACTGACTATGAATGGAACTTGGTCGGTTTGTCTCAGTAATTTGTATCACAGATGCACAATTGGACAGTATTTATTTAACAACTTCACATCTTTAAATCACAGTGTTCTATTGTGTTAACTTCTTCCTTTTCATTTTCACTTTATGCCCCACCCCTGGATTGGTTTGAATTGGATTTAATTATCAAACCTTTGCTGTGATTTTCTGTGTGCAATTAAGAATAAATAATCATTGTAAATTGACTAGGTAGTTGCTGAACCAATATGTATCATGAGGCCAATTTTCGGTCCTTTTGCATGGTCACAAGACTACGTATGACTTACAAAATTATTATAATGTGTCCTTCGCACATGTTTTTGACTGGATTGAATTTTCAGTACAAAAACAATGCGACTTTTCCCCCAAAAAATGTAATGGGCAAACAAGTGCTCCATCTTCAAAAATAATTTCTGAAAGCCCAGCTTTGTGCTTTTCTGGAAGTAAATGAGAAATAACTGCACAAATAACAAACTGTTCATTTCTGTTATCAAAGATGCTTTTATGGCCTCCCTTGCACTATGTGGCAATTCGAAGTGTCACATAGCAAAACAATTGTGATTTTTTATTTTGAAACAGCTGCGAACTTCTGTGACTTGTACCTATTTTATGCTTCTTTGTCACCTTTTTAGATTTCTAGACTCATTGACTGATTCCATTCCACTTAAATTGTCACACTGTTTCATGCATGTTTTCAAAGAAGATGGAATTTTGAAAATTGGCCTTCTGGTTATCAATCAGTTCATATGTATTTTATCATGCCTGAAAGGAATATTTTAACGTGTGCAAGAATTCTCTGTGGAATGTTCATCAGAATGGTACAAGCTGTTGTGTTGATCCATGCAATATGTAGTCTCTTCAACCTCGTTACATGTATGTGGAATGTTACCTGTGTAAGTTTGTATGTATTTTAACGTGTATCCTTGGATATAGTTTGTAATCAGTTTCGACCTGGCCGTGCCTACAATTGTATACAGAGAATAAACAACATTAAAAGTAAACTAATTTTTCTGCCGTTCTTTTGGCCAGACATAAAGTTGGTTGAGATTGAGCTCTTGTTCCCAAAAAAATGAGAGGGATACAGTTTTAGAGCTGAATATCCAAATATCTGGGTAAATAGTTAACATCACAATTTGTCACAGAAAGGAATCAAAATTGTTTGGGTTAGGCACAAGTTACATAAAATATAAATGCTTTCAGTGCTCATTCTACAACCAGATGTCACTATCATGAGCTTCAGAATTATTTTCTTACTTCCAATTTGTAAATTCTGCTGAAGACATGTAGGAACAGGAAGTTATCATAATACAAACATTGTCTTCAACAACAAAAACAAATTGCTGAAAAAACCCAGCAGGTTTGGCAGCATTTGTGGAGAGAAATCAAAGTTAACATTTCGGCTCCAGTGACCCTTCTTCATAACAAACATTGAATTCTCTTTTACTGGATAATGTTACATTGAATGTAATTAAAATTCTAGAAGTCTAGATCTAATGGAGAAGCAATGCTGACCCATTACTTAACCTCTATAAAGAATTGCACATCATTGACTGGATTAGGAGTTTGCGCAAGATTGGAAAAGGAGGTGGGCAGAAGCTGAAAGTAGCCTTTCAGTCAGCATGCTAATTTCCCCACTCCTTCGCTGTCCAGCCCTGACCAATTTCGCAGCAATCTAGAAATGTAGGACTAGTGTGGGGGAGAGGGAAAGGCTATGGGTTTATGCACAGCAGGTTGCCAATATATATTATTTAGTGGAAGTGGGTGATAGCAATGCAGTTAAGTACGGAAGCCCACCTCAGCATGCTTGGGTGCAGCAATAGTCCTGCTGTCGAGCTCCCATTCCAATTTCTAACAAAATATTGAAAAGGCTGTAGGTGGTGCGCCTCTATTTTTAAGTGCCCTCTCTTTTCCTTAGTTTTCATTATAACTGATCTATTCAAGTTGGAAAGCCTCTGATTACCCTTCCAATTTCAACAGCCTATCCAGCATTCTTAAGTGGACAGCAAGCCTACCGTCTGCCAGTAATTGGTCACTATAAGAGACATTACAATGAGTGACAGTTTCCCATATCACACAGGTTTCTAACTCACATTTCAACCTGACAGCAAGGTTCAAATGTCTGCAGGCAACATCATTTTATTGCCAGGCATCCTGATTATTCAGCATTTAAATAAAGCTGGCCAATTCTTACTTTCCATGCTCAAGTTTCAGGTATCCTTATCACTGTGCATGAAAAGATTTCCATGCAAACAACTAGGTACTGTCGGAACAGAATCTCTGTTTTCAGAAATTAATTTCCATTACTCAGCATTCCTTTATAATGATTCAAATAAACAAATTCAATTGATTGAGATGTTTATAGAAAATGCTAGTTTAGCAGATCCCATTTAAACAAAGTCACTTTCAAGAACATAGACAAAGTTGACATTTGGTCAAGTAAGTTTCACTTGTCAGTAGACAGTATGGACTGGATTTTATTTTTTTCAGCATGGTGATGGAGGCAGAATAAAAATGGAGGACTCCAGTCTCTCCCTGCCCCATTATCTCAGCAACGGATGCGACTGGCAACACTTTGGTGGGAAGGCTGCCAATTAGAGAAGCAGAAAGTGGCTCTGAGCCCAAATGGGACTGTAGATCAAGGCATCAAGACTGTAGACAAAGGGATAGTGCTGCAAATAGGAACTTTGTCAGAACTGAAATTATAAAGGCCCCAACTCTCAGAAACAAGCTTTATTTTTATAGAAGGCGCAAAAAAGACAAAAGTGTTATTTTTTTAAAAAAGCAGATGTTGGCAGTTCCCTCTGGAATTTGCCGGTACATTTGATCATGGACCCAGTGGCAAGTCTTTCTTTCCACTCTTGTGCCAACTTCTTATCACTGCTGTAAAACACTCCCAATTTTTTTTTCACATTCCAACACCCAATAAGATGAGAGATAGTAGGAACTGCAGATGCTGGAAAATCTGAGATAACAAGGTATAGAGCTGAATGAACACAGCAGGCCAAGCAGCATCATAGGAGCAGGAAGGCTGACGTTTCGGGCCTAGACCCTTCATCAGAAATCAGCAGGAAGGCTGACGTTTCGGGCCTAGATGAAGGGTCTAGGCCCGAAACGTCAGCCTTGCTGCTCCTGTGATGCTACTTGGCCTGCTGTGTTCATCCAGCTCTACATCTTGTTAACCCAATAAGATGAAGTGGGCAACAAAAATTGAAAACAATTGTGTTGTTAACAAACTTAATAGCATGTTAATTAGTGACTTCACAATACCAAGTGGACTGCCAATTTTGTGAACCCACTTGCCTTCCATAATTTGGGAGACTGACGTGATGTCGTCATACTGCAGACACAATATCATCACAGCGTTATTTTATGACAGAACACAACTGGGGATTGGGTGCAGCACATCTGATTTGAGATTGTAAAATCCAATCATATACGTTTGGTCATTCTCCTGTGGAAATGTCAACAGATGAATCATAGTACTAGGAAAAGAAATTGCACCTGTGACGAACAAAATGTGTACCGTCTTCATAAGTGGTCATGTCTTATCTTGTTCACCTTGACTTTGTGTCTTGTGAGAAGTTTCTCAATTCAGAGCCACGTCATTACCAGTAGGCAAATCTTTCGATAAGGCACCCATTGTTGCTTAATCCATGAATGGTTGCTGATAATTACTGCAGATTAAACAATGAGAGTCATTGCATTTCCAGTGCCTTGTTATTGTAAACTTTGCTATCATGTTTTTACTTTTTTCTGCATTTTTCTACCTTTCCACATGCCTTCAGGATTCTTCCAGCTCAATGGTAGGGCTTAAGTTCTTCACATTTGTTTCTGTTACTTTATCTGTTCAATACCTATAACACTGCTGGTGATTAAAGAGGACTGAGTTGCCTCGTAGCTAGTAAATGCTATGTACTAGCTTGGCACCAAAATAAAGATGTACTTTTTTTAGTGTTTTACTTCAAAAGTAATCTGAAGCTATCAGACCAAATCTCCTGTCATATATTCTTGACATCACCTTTGTTAACTGTGAAATTTAACATCATATATTTAAGTGGATAATGTGAATATATTCCACTATGATGCATACTTAGTTGATCTTTTAGAGAAATGTAATTACAAAAACAGTAGGTGCTAAGTTTTCATATACAGTAAAATGGAAAAACTTAAACTATTTAGTGTACCCACTTATAGGTGGGCATTCTTTCCTTTCCCACTCAGAATAGTCTGACTTTTCTCTACCTCTGGAATCTATGTAGTAGCTGAACTGAGCACCAACATGATGGTACTTCAATAGATTTTTGAAAGCAGGATATTTCAGGGTATCCACCTGTTTAAAATCTTCCCAGTATAACCAAGGTCTTTTTTTCAACTTGTTAGAGCCCTGTCTTCTTACCCTCATTTAAATAACATTTTCCTGACCTTCACAGCACTACCAACAGTTCCAGCAGCGCACAAGCCCTCTCTAATCCCCAAGATGTTTGTGTTTGATTTATCCCTATAACCACCATTTCCATTCCAGCCTGGTCATTATGCATCTCCCGTTTGAAAGAAAGAACGTCTTGTGTAAATGCCTTTCAGGCATTAATTGTTGAGAATATCATCTTATAAATTAAATATCTTAAACTAGCACTTTATAACTTTCTGCCTGCGTCTCAGTCAAATGGCCTGCGTACCTCTGCATAATTTCTGCCTCTTCATTTGTTTTTCCTCATCAGTAATCCACAGAACTTTACAAACCCATGCCAGACTAAGGCAACCTACTACAAGGCCACTGCAAATATTATGCTCTGATCAAAAACTAAGAATTTATTTTATATAGAACGTTTCACATTGTCAAGAACATCCTAAAGTGCTATATAGCCAGTAAAGTATTTTTGAAGTGTAGTCACTGTTTTAGTGTAGGGAATAATGACAGCCAAATGGTGCACAGCAAACTCCCATAAGCAGTGTTGTGATAATGGCCAGGTATCAGTTTTAATTACATTGGTTGAGGAACAAATATTGAACAGAACACTGAGGAATGACTGCCACGCTCTTCTTCAAAGCAGTTCCATAGGACCTGGCATGTCCACTTATGGTGGACCTGGACTTGGTTTAACATCTCATCTAAAAGGTGAAACTTTCTACAGTGCAGCACTCCTTCAGTACTGCACTGAAGTGTTGCCCAAGAGTTTTGTACTTAACTGGCTTGAACCAGTGATCACTGACTCAGATGGAGGAGGATACACTCACTGAACCACAGGTGACGCTTGGACGCGACTGTAATATCACACTGGCACATGGTAATGACGTGACAGATTCCACACAATCTCCAGTAAAGCAATATGATCAGATAGGTTTCGGTGCTCGATGTTGAATATAATAGCTCCGTTCAAGATGGGATGTGCAATATAAAGTAAACTGCATTTCTTACCCTTATGATTAGAATAATTAGTGCCAAATTCAGAATTGCAGCAGTAAATTCAGTAGCACTTGAATCTGTGTAAGTCAGATTTTGTCAACTAGGAATCTGCATCTCCGTAGGGACCCACAAGAATATTTCAGGGAGTCCATAAGAAGGAACTAGTGGAAATTCTCATTTTGTCCTAAATTTCATCCTGCTGCCCTCCTCACCAGAATTCTTTGCTTACCCCTCAGTACAACAGTGCACTGAAATCTACTAAACTATGTGTCAGTAAAGTGGAACATCTCTTAATTCTATACCATTGTGTTCAACAATGTGTGTTAAGAAAGATTATTTTTCTTAAAGATCTCCTTCAGCAACAACTTGCACTTTAATACCTTTAACATTATAATACTCTTGTGAAGTTATTATTAAGTGAAATTTAATGCCAAGCCATATAAGGCAACATTGGGGCAATAGCCAAAACGCTTGCTCAAAAAGGTAACAAGAAGAGGAATAAGAATCTGAGATATTTGTTAAAAGGAATTCCAGAGCTTAGGGTCTAAGCAGCTAAAGGCATGGCCACTAGTAGTGGAGCAATTAGAATCAGAGATTGTCTAGAGCCCAGAATTTAGATGTGTTCAGATATCTCAGTGGGTTGTGGGACTGGAGGAGCTTACTAAGAAAGGGAGGGGTGAGACTGTGGATAAATTTAAATTCAAGGTGTTCCATCACTGGAACCCAATTATTGGTCTGCAATATATTGGAAGTATAGAAATACATTAGAAAAGTTGAGAGTTAGCAAAGGTATTCCCTCATTACTGCCCTGGTCATTAAGTGATCACTCCTCTTGTCATGCAAAGTAAACAAAACAAAAATAACAACAAATTAAATGTTTTAATTGTGTATCTGATGTTTGCACAGAAACAATACTTGTGTTACAGGGGTCCGTGGAATTTTTATACCACCAGAGAGGGAACCCTTAGAGGCATAAATGTTAAGAACTATTGACATACAGCAAGTCTAATGTTGCAGTCAACCAGGAAGGCACCACTGAGTTTATATCTTTAACGGGAACTCTTATTTTTTACTATTTTTAAATTTGCCCTTATTTCCTGTAAGGTCAGTTTTGTTCTTTCTCTGCACAACAGATGAGCGGAGTTGTCCACAAGTAGAACTTACATTAAAAAGAAATTGCCACCTTGGATTCTTTTTTGAGGAACCTACTTTAAATAATGTAGTTTTTTTTAAGCTTTCCACAAATATATCAAAAGAAATCAAATAAGTTTAATAAACAATTCACACTGTACTCTTAGCTTTGTAGAATAGAAACTGGAAGAGGAATAACGTTTTCAGTTTTAGTTTTCAGTTGTCTCTCTACAAACCAGTGTAGCTTCCTTTTCTCATAAAAACAGAAAATGCTGGAAATACTTAGCAGATCAAGCATCAGTGGAGAGAGAGAAACAGTTAATATTTCAGAGTTTTGATGAAAGTCTTAACAACCTGAAACTGTCATTTCTTTCTCCACAGATGCTGCCAGATCTGCTGAGCATATCCAATATTTTCTGTTTTTATTTTAAGTTTTCAGCATCTGCCCTATTCTGCTTTTCCTTAGGTTGGCTTTTACAGGATGTAAATGCCACTGGCAAGGCCAACAGTGGTTGCTCATGTCTAATTACCCTTGAAAAAGTGGAGTAGAGCTATCACCTTGTACCACAACAGTGTTATTGGTGATGGTACAGTCACAGTAGTATTAGGTAGGAAGTTCCAGGACTTTGATCCAGCAATGATAGTTGAAGGATTGATTGGCCATGAATGATAAAATTTCTATAAACTGTAGAATTTTCATCCTGCCTTTAAATATTTACTCATGTTGAGGGTTTGAGCTATAGGGAGAGGCTGGTGCTTTATTCCTGGAGCATCTGAGGATGAGGGGTAACCTTATAGAGGTGTATAAAATCATAGGGTGAATTGCCAAGGTGTTTTCTCCAGGGTAGGGGGTCAAAAATTAGCAGGCATAGGTTTAAGATAAGAGGGGAAAGATATAAAAGGGACCTGAGAGGCAACCTTTTCACTCAAAGGGTGGTGTGTGTTTGGATCAAGCTGCCAGAGGAGCCAGTGGAAGTGGGTACAATTACAACATTTTAAAAGGCATCTGGATGGGTACATGAATAGACCAAAATGCGCCAAATGCTGGTAATGCGACTGGATCAGTTTAGGATAGCTAGTTGGCATGGACAAGTTGGACTGAAGGGTCTGTTTCCATACTGTACAACTCTATGACTCCACAACTCTGTTTTCACTCATGTATGTTATTTGCTCTTCATCCAGTTATTGTCAACCTATCTGACCACAGAGGGTCAAATCTTGTCAAGGTTCTACACAAACACACTACTTCTTCACCACCACCACCAGGCCCAATGACCTCCACACTTTACGCATGACACTGGAATCCCAACTGAAACAGTTAAGAACAAAAGGAGAAAAAAAATGGAGATCAAAGATATATTAAACATTGCAAGACCAAAAGGGCCTCAAACAAATTCTTCCAGTCTAATAAATTGTATTGTAAAATATCTGTTTGCAGCATTAGCAAGTAGAGTCAAATAACTGCTTCCAAAATTCATACAAGGGTGAGAATTTTGACTTTAATGGATGGAATACTATTTAGAGAGGGCAAGGAGTGTGTCCTGCATAGTACAGATCCAACCAACTAAATTCCTCAAATAATTTCCATCAATTGTTACAATTTCTTAATTACCAACATTTAGTCAGTATTTTATACAATATAACAGCTTTTAAGCCTCGAAACTACCTCAATAACTCTAAAATGTTTTGGAACATCTTGAGGTTGTGAAAGGTGCTTTGAACTGCAAGCAGTTCTTTCTTTAAATGTACATTTGAAGACTATCATGTTCAGAATATGAGATAAAGAGAGCATCTCTATCTGGGATCTGAAACTTTTAGTGGGTCAGATTAGTGTTTCCCCATCAGCACCTTCAAGCAACAAAGGCAATTCTTGGAAATTCACAAAAAGCAGCATCTTGGACACAAAATGCTTCACCTCAAGCTTGTATATTCCCAATTCCCAAATTCTAGTTCTCGTTTTCTATTGTGATCTGTTGCTAGCAAAAGAAAGAAAGTTTGCATTTTTATAATCACTTTTCACAACCTCCAAATATCTTGAAACACCAATTTGCAATGAGCAACCCTCACAAACAATGATAAGGGTGAAATAAATCTTTTATCATATTGTTTGAGGGAAAATTATTGGCCAAGATACCTGGGTCAGATCCCCTGCTTTTCTTCAGAATAGCACCAAGGAATCCTTTGCAACAGCCCAAACAAGTAGATGGAACCTTCATCCAAAAGACAACCTTTCTTCAGCACTATGTTGGAGTGTAAGTCGTGATTTCTGTGCTCAAGCCTAGAGCTGTACTTGAATTGGGAACCTTGTGTGATTCAGAGGCAATCAAGTGCTAGCAACTGAGCCACAGCTGACTCACAAATCAATCATGGCTGATTTTGCCTATCTGCATTAACTTGATTTTGCTTCTCTTTCCTCCTACCATTTGTAACTTTGATCCTATACTTTAATTTCAATCTCAGCCATTCACAGAGGTGGGGACACTCCCAATGCACCACAAGAACCCTGTGAACAATGGCATTTATATTAAACAATTAAGGATCATGATTGGATACGGTTCATTGAGAAATCAATTGCAGTTGATTGGCAAGAAAATATCTAAGTAACTACACTTCAAATTCAGAAGAAATATTTTGAAGATTAATGTTTAAGTTTAAATATTCTCTAATCACTGTTTATTTCTGGGATTTTATTTTATTCATCATGAATAGCTCTGAACTTAAGACATTTCCTCCTGTCTGTCATTACTGTCATTAGCAGTAGGTAGAGTTTTAAATCCAGTCAAAATTGTGCAGAGAAATATGATCATCCACAATGCAGAAAAATATTCCACTAAATGTCTCACTGGATAAGGTGAGCTTACCTCTGTCATTTACTGACTGGTTTGGACAGGCACAAAGCTCCACAAATCCATCCTCTTTTCAATAAAGGAAAAGTTAAAATGATGGAAAAATCTCTGTACTGTGGAGAAGTGGGATTATCCAATTATCTCCTGTTGGCCTGGGCTCAGTTCATCACTGGTGTTTGGAATTTCTTACCTGCTTACTTAAAATGTAACCTCCCCGGTCTCTGCCTCTGGCTTCTATTTAGTATTTCACATAAAATATAGAACATAAATGTAAGACTCAGAATACTTATAATTTTTTGTGATTTTTTTGTTGTTGTTCATTCTTCTGGTTTCTCATAATTGTATACTGTACTTGCAGCAGAAGAATGCAGTGGGGTTGATCGAAGGCATCCATATAATAACCTGACTATACCTACATCTTGCTGGGTGTTTGTTTCCCTGTGTAGAAATGTTTGATAACTTTCTTTACACCTCTTCTTCTTCCATTTTATCCTTCATAACAAATAGGATTTTTTTTTTGTATGAAAGACTATGGTTACTAGCCAGAGACATTTCACATCATCATCTGAATTGGGATTTCAGTATCCTGCAATTCCATATCTCAAAATGCTAAAAATTGTCCTTTGTAATTTTGTGTTTCGGCTGTTTTATCCTCGAGTGCTGGAGCATTTGCAAGCAAACACAAACATAACTGGAATCTACATAAATAACTTACTAACTTACTAGGCTGTTGCTGTCAGAAATACAATGATTTGTTGAGCCCTTAGACAGACAGTTCATAGAATCTTAAGGTACAGAAGGCTATTCATCTCAATCCTGCCAATGCCAGATCTGTGTAAAAACTATTCAATTAGCTTTACTCCACTGCTCTTTTGCAATAGCCTGAAGTTTTCTCTTTCAAGTACATATCCAACTTTTCTCTGAATGCTACTATTGAGTCTGTTGCCATCACCTTTTCAGGCACTGCATTCCAGATCATGACTTGTCACATAAAATAATTTTTTCCATCTTGTCTGTGGTTTCTTAGCAATGAATGTAAATCTATTTACTAATTCTATTGCCAGTGAAAACTGTTTGTTCTTATTTACCATATCAAAGGTTCTCAATTATGAATAGATCTATCAAATTTCCTCTTAACATTCTTTGTTCTAAAGAGAATAAACCCAGTTTTAAGGAGAACAATCCCACTTTTTCTAATTTCTCCACATAACTGAAGTCCTCATCCCTGGTTTATTCTAGTGAGTCTCTTTCTGCAACCCTTCCAAGGCATTGCCACCATTCCAAAGCTTTAGGTATCCAAAATTGGACACAATACTCCAGCCGAGACAAACCAATAGTTTATAAAGGTTTTGATAATTTCTTTGTTTTTAAACCTTGTGCCTCTATTTAGAATCCTGTATGGTTCTTTACCAGTCTTATCAACTTGATCAGCGACCTCAAAGACTTGTGTATGTGAACCTTGAGGCTTTTGCTATTCCAGGTGTCCAAAGTTAGCACCAAACAACATACGGCATTGCATTTCTGATCCAGAAAAGTGCCATTATGGCTCTTTTGTTAATTAAAGAAGAAGATAAATTACATTAAATGTCCCTCTAATGTTAAATAAAAACATAAAGTGCTAAAATAAACTAAACCGGTCTGGCAGCCTTTCTGAAGAAAGAATTAACTTTCTGAGTCTAATATGACTCTTCTCCAGAACTGAGAACCCTCAAATATAATCTGTTGATTTTTCCTGCTGCAGCCTCTTTTTTTGAACAGACATTAGCACCACTTTAATCTGGAAAAAGTGTGCAAGAGTTATATTTAAAATACAGTTTCTGCAGTAAAAATTCAGTCATGTAATTTCCTTTAGCATATTTTCCTCCTTTAAAGAATGTGATCAGAAGTTCCTGGTGAAAGCAATGTTGTAGTAAAATAGTTATGCTTTGGTCAGTTACACTATTTGTTATACAGTAGTTGAAGAAAATGCCCCTCTTTTCCAGTATAGTCATGTACTAATTTCGTATTTTGTCATTCCAGGTAAAGACTGAGATCAGTGTTCAAAGTAAGCACCAGACAATGCAAGGTATTGCATTTCCAATCCAGGAAAGTGCCATTACGGCTCTCCTCTTACTTAAGGAGAAGAAGATAAATTACATACAACTGGTATGTAACTCCCTTCTCATTCAATATACATTGAATTAGTTTCAGCATTGTAAGGCTGCATCTTGCTAGCTGATAGATAGCTAACCGGTATTAAGGAAAAGAGTAATAACATGAGAACAACAAATGCTAGAGATCACAGTGAGTTGGGCAGCATCCGTGGAGAGAGAGCAGTTTAACGTTTGAGTCTAGATGACTCTTCTTCAAAGTTCTGTGGTTGATATTGATTGACTAGCTCTTCTTTCAATTCAGTATCTGTATTCACTGCTCAGATTGACATGAGAGGGAAGAAAAAGAGAAGTGGAGCAGGACAAACTGAATAGCTCTTACAAGGAGGCACCAATAGACTAAACAGCTTCCTTCTTAGCCCTGTCTTTTTATGGTACTACATTCCAAATGCTTAAGATGTATTGAGAAAAGAGCAAGCAACTATTCTGCTATAAATAATACGTTTAGCTAAAGCAACTGCTTACTTTTCAAAAATATTTATTTCTTCTCCACCCTTCAGAAACTAGATACAGAGAAGGAAACCATCAACTTGGTGCATACAGATGTCACTGACGTCCTTGACTTACCAAAGAGAATTCCAAGTAATGCTGCTCGCTATCATTTCTTCCTCTATAAGCACTCACATGAGGGGGACTACTTAGAATCAATTGGTAAGTTGAAAAATGTTTTATTTACTTGCTTCACTTCCATCCTCTCATCTTAGCAGCTCATCCAAAATGCCTGCCTATTCTCCATCTAAAAACCGGGGTAATCTGTGTTGGCAAACAACTCAACCATGGTGGATGGGGGGCATCACTACCAGCCTGTCTGTGCCTTGTACTATTTGTAATTGCTGTTGAGCAGGTATTCTGGTGGTTAGCCAATCCAATTTTCCCTCTCCTCTTACTAGATGCTGAGGCCATCCCAACCCTTACCCATGTGTGATCTGCAATCTCAGCACAGACTTTCCTGGTCTAGATGACTCAGAACAACACCAAAAATTAAAGTCACCTATTTAACCATAAGGGAATCTTGCTGGGTTTTTTTAAACAAAAATATTAATTGCTGTTTTCCTGATTTCCCTTCTATTCAAATTCAATCTGTACATATTCAAATACGTTAATATTCCAGGCCTGTCTTTAACACAATGGCATAACTTTGATATTGTAGGTAGTAGTGTGTATGGACTATATGTATTTGAATAAAAAGTGACTTGCAATGAATTACTATAATCAGAATGTTCAAATGATGACCATAAATTACCAGATCCACTGCTCAGTAATATATAGTTAGCTGAAACATGCAACTAAATTACCACCTATTACTCAGTGCCAAACTGCTGTAATTGTGCCTCTTGATGCTGTATTCTTTAATTGGAACATGTAACTTTCTTTAATTGTTCATCTTCCTTGTCCATTTTACTCCTGCGCACCCACTGTTACAAATAGCTTCAACTATGTTTTGTCCTGACAACTCTCACAAATGACTATAAAGGATTGTATAGAACTGTTCATGTTCAGTGAGTAAATTGCAGTAGAATACAGGGAATAAAATTCCAAGTTCTCAGAGATCTGCAACTTGTTTGTTATTTCTAATTGTTGTTATTTCTCTTCCCACAGTGTTTATCTACTCCATGCCAGGGTACAAATGCGGTATTAAAGATCGTATGCTGTACTCCAGTTGTAAGGGACCTCTACTGGATGTGGCAGAACAACAGCTACAACTGAAAGTCGTCAAAAAGGTAGTCACATACGTGTGTATCTGCAGACACCATTAGCCAAGTTGTGGGATTACCAGAATAAGCAAGGAGTTGGGACTGTTTCCAGGTCCTGAACCCACCTTTGGGGAGGCAGTCACTGACCTGGATTCTTACCTCCTTAATTGTCATTGAGACAGGCTGCCCGTATAATTAATGGAAGCGAGGAAGCTCTCAAAGATGTAGAATGACTTAAACACAAAGATAAAAATTTTAAGGTGCTGAGGAACTGGTTTCACTGAAGATCAGCAGGCCAAGAATGTTCAGCTGCAGAGATGAATACACTAAGCAGAGTTTTGGATGAGCTGAAGTCTACACAGAGTAAATTATGTGCCTGCCAGGAGACCACTGGTACACCAGAGTCAAAAGATAACAAAGACTTCAGAGTTCACTGGTAAATGGGCTTAGACCATGGATAAGAAAGTTATGTTACAAAACTGGAAATCAGTAGTTCTTATGATGGTGAAGTATCAGGAATGGGGATGGAATCCAACATCAAGATCAGTTTACTATTTGGAAACCACTCTGAATAGTTAACATAAATTATTTTCAGATTTGATGTGTATGTTATTAAGAACACTTTTTGCTATGTTTAAAATTCAACTGGTTTAGAAATCTGTGAATAAGATAGCTATTCTGCAATTGTATTTTTTCAGATCGAAATAGACAATGGTGAAGAGCTAACACCAGACTTCCTTTATGAAGAAGTCCACCCGAAACAACACGCTTTTAAACAAGCTTTTGCAAAGCCAAAGGGACCGGCTGGAAAGCGTGGGATGAAGCGGATTATCAAAGGAGGTGGCGATGCAGAAAATGGAGAGGATGTTTAAAACAAAGACTGTCGGGTCTAAGGGACTTTGGACTGACTTTCTACTCTTTAACACTGAACTTAAAATTTACATTAGAATATAAATTTACATCAGTTGAACCTCCTTTATTTTTGCCCTTTTCCTCCCAAAATATGATAAGCACCTTTTAGACTTTTTAATTATTGCTGACGCTTGTTACAGAATTTTTGGGAGAGTTTTTGATTTGTACAAGGTCTGTCATGAAATGCAAAATAATTGGTGCAGTTTCATGGCAACTTTGAATTCACTGCCTGCTTTACTTGGCAAGAACACAAATCAATTTAACATATCCCATTTACACTTTGGGATTAGGATCAGTGGGGAACCAGGCAATCTCCACTGAATCTGCTACTGAATGCACTACATTATCCCAAACCAGACATCCAACAAAGCAGACATCCTACCAGGTTCCCATCTCCGAGGGAGATCTAATGTGGTGCTTTTCAAGGTTTGACCAAAAGCAACAAAACATAATTTTTTAATTTGAATGACAATAAATGGGGGAGAATGCAACTATTTTCTTACAAACACTACACGCTGTTCACATTCAGAAGTAATAAAAAATCCATTATCTATTAGCAATAGTGATCAAAATTGAAAACGGTTCCTGAAAATTCATAAACCAACTTTAAAAGACAGGTGTACAAATCACTAATAGACCACTGGGAATCCAAATCCACAATACCAGGGGCTCAGATATGTGGAGGTTAAATCCATAATCTCCATTTGAACTTCCTCCCAACATCTCAGATACGTCGGTGCATGTTCACCACAACAAAGTAAGCTTATACTCTTCCAACAGATTGTGAGGGAGGTGGAATGCATTACCATAATCTGTTACCATGGAAAACAGACATCATTGCCAGAAAACAAAAGTTGGATGGAAACATCAGTCCGTGGAGTTATTCCCAGCTCCCTTTTGCTGACAACTTTTGCTGGATATGTGAAGTATTGGTTACAGTGGACAATGACTTCCTATTTTATTTTCAAAGGAACAGGTGCCCAATGTAGGCCAGTTTGGTACATCATACATATATACCTATTATATATTAGGGTTCTGTACACAAAGGGTGCAGGAATTTCGATCAGTGTTCACAGCCTCCTGGTTCTGAACTTCTATTTGTTTTGTTGTTGGAGGAGTGTAAGTTTCTACTCGAAGCTCACATTGTGGTACTGTAAGTTAATTCATAAAATGCACTTTGCTTCGGTATAGCTGTAGATGGAGAATATATCTGAATTTGCAGCTGTGGTGTCTGTGGAACTAGAACCATAGCACTAATTGATTCAAGTAGATCCAAAGGTGAATTTAGATAAGAGTCAATGAAAAAGTGTACGTCAAGAGAGGCTGCGCTCTGCACCTTTCACCAACATTTCTTTTTAATGTGGAGTTTTGACCATTTCTAAGTGATAATAAATTAATTTTAACTTGTGTAAATCACATCAGCTTTTAAATCTGTCATGTTCATCAGTTGTTTTGGGCAGAATACCTGCTTGGCAGTGTGTGGACAGCACTGTTTATTGATTCGTGCTGCTTGAGTATCCATTGATGCAGTCAGTCACTACATTGATTCAAATAAAAACAGAAAACATTGGAGAAACTCAGCAGGTCTGGCAGCATCTGTGGAGTTAACGTTTCAAGTCCTGTGAACTTTCTACAGAACCAAGTCATTTGGACGTGAAACACATTTCTGGTTCTCTCTCCACAGATGCTGCCAGATCTGTTGAGTTTCTCAAGTATTTTCTGTTGTTATTTTATATCTCCAGCATCTGCAGTACTTTGCTTTTGTTTGAATACAGTGATTAAGATCGTCAACCCTTTTTCCCAATGGTATTGTATTGATTTGAAAGAATGTAGTCGTTTTTTTGGGACTTTGCCACTTGAATTCTTGAGATCTTTTGCAATGTGCCACATTGATTTGCATCACATTGGATACACAGAGTAGTGAAGATTTTCCAAAAAAGCAATTATATTTGGAATAAAACCAGGGAACTGACAGCCGTAAGTTACTGTCATTTGTCCATGGTGAAGGATGGTGTAATTGGCAGCACTATCAAACCACAGTTACTCCCCAGTAACTTGTTACCAATACTCCATCTGGATTTCTCCACACCCACTGCCTCTAGACTTCATCACAGCTTTAGTCCAAACATGGATACAAGAGGTGAATTCTAGAGCTGATGTGAAAATGACTTACCCTTGCATCAAGGTATCATTTGACTGAAACATCAAGGAGACCGAGAAAAATTGAAGCCTGTGAGAATCAGGGAGAAATCTTTTTGCTGGTGGGAAGCACATCTAACACTAAGGAAGATGCCTGTAGTTGCTGGAGGCCAATTATCTCAGCACAGAACATTGATGCACGAGAACCTCAGGATAGTGGCCTCTGTTCCATGCATGACCTTCCCTCCAAGATAAAGTGAGAAGTGGGAATGTTTGCTGTTGATTATTAGTGCCATTTCCATTTCAAAGTGGTCTGATAATGAAGTAGTATGCCCTTGCAGGCAGCATGATCAGGACTATTTTCAGGCTTGGTTTAATTAGTGGCATGTAACATTCATGCAAATACTAGGCCATGACCATCTTCAACATTTTCCCTTGATACCCAGTATCATTACCAGCACTGAAACCTCACCATTAACATTCTGAGGGGTCATAATTAATCAAAACTTTAATTGTACCAGCTGTATAATTACTGAGCTACAAGAGCAGGTCACAGACTGGGAATTCTGTGGTGAGTCATTCACCTCCTGACTCTCCAAAGCACAAGTCACAAGTGTGTGATCCAGTACTTACCCTTGTCCAGATGAGTACAGCGTCAACAACACACAAGAAGCTTGTCACATTCCAAAACAAATCAGATCACATTATTGGCACTCAACCTGAAACTTCCAGTTTTTACACTGCCAACTACAATTTAATGTCTGCCACCAACATGATGCACTGCAGCTACTTGCAAAGGCTCCTTCAACAACATCTCCAAAACCATGTATCATCTAATAGGACAAGAGATATGGGAATACTACCATCTACAATTCCCCCTTTGAGTTACAGACTACCCAAACTAAGGAATACATTATCATTACTGAGTTAAACTGCTGGAGAACCCTACTTAACAATACTGTGTGAGTTCCATAATCACATGGACTCCAGCGGTTAACTAAAGCAGCTTATTACAACCTAAAGGGCCATTAAGGATGGGCGCTAAATGGTGAACATGTCAGTGACATCCAATGAATGAATAAAAAGTAGACATTCCCATCTCTGCAAAACTCCTCTTCAGTTATTAAGAAATAAACCCATGTCTAAATGGCAAGTATCTCTTTCATTAGATTATTACTTGAACTTTTTATAGCTTGAGCCACAGAATTATCATCCCCTTTCATTGTTCACTCTGCACCAAATAATTTTAAGTAAGTCCCCAGATCCAATCATATAGAAATTTTTCTGTTTTGTTTACTGCCATTTACCTGAGAGATAAACCTTTTAATTTGCAGCCTGCCCAGATATTAGTCTTATTGCTAACTCTGGGACCATGAACCTGCCTCCTTTCCTGGAAACTGAGAACTAAAAAGGCAATAATAAATTTTAGTGGCTATTCTGCCAAGTGGTACAACACCTATTACCTTCACATAATTTCTCATGCAGTGTGTGAGTGTGTTGTGAAGACTTCAAGCTGCTCTTGGCACTTTATCTGACAGCCAAGTTATGTGCCCTGTCTCTCACCTGAGGTACCACCAGAGAAAGTGAGATCATGAAAATGGAACGTGATGGTCTAATGGTGTTATCACTAGACTATTAATCCAGAGGCCCAGATAATAGGGACGCAGGTTTGAATCCTAGGAAAGGTGGAATTTGAATTCAGTACTGTTTTGGAATTAAGAGACTAATGGTGGTCATGAAACTGTTGTTGATTGTCAAGAAAAATTCATCTGATCCACTAACGTCCTTTAGGGAAAGTAACTGCAGTCCTTACCTGGTGTGGTGTACGCCTGACTCCAAACTCACAGCAAAGTGGTTGACTATTACCTACCCTTCAGGAAATTAGGGAGGGCGGTAAATTCTGGCCTAGCATGAATGAATAAAATATACCAATATAATTAGCAAAGCTGGGTGTTTGCATGTGCAATGAAAGGATCATGAATGGGACTAAATGGTGAACATGTCAGTGACATCCAACGAATGAATAAAATGTAAACATGGAAAAAAACAAATTTGCTGGAAAAGCTCAGCAGAACTGGCAGCATCTGTGAAGGAAAAAACAGAGTTAACGTTTCGGGCCCAGTGACCCTTCCTCAGAACTGATTATCAGATTGGATGATGGAAAACCCCTACTTATCCAAAGATTTTCAACTTCAACCTGTTCTATTATATATACACGTGTGTGTGTGTATAAATATATAAACATGATTTCTATTCATATATTTGGAGAACAACTACGTAATTCAGTGACTCAACTGCCATAATGTAGGCAACATTTGGATGTGAAAAAACTATCGGCAAAATCTATGTTTTCTAAATGGTATGGAAAAAAAATTGCAGATCACTCAGAAGCCACTGAATTCTTGATTCTTTGTTTACTACATTTTTATTCATGGGATGTGGCTGTCACTGGCTAAGGCCAACATTTGTTCCTATCCTTAATTGCCCTGGAAAAGGTGGTGGTGAGCTGTCTTGGGAAACACTGCAGTCCTTCGGTTATAGGGAGACCCACAGTGCTGTTAGGAAGGAAGTTCCAGGATTTTGACTCAGCAGGAGTGAAGGAATGCCAATATACTTCCAAGTTAGGATGGTGTATGACGTGAAAGGGAACTTGCAGGCTGTGGTGTTCCCACACATCTGCTGCCCATGCTTTGGTAACATGGAAACCACTCTTCCAATCCTACCTATCTGAATTGGCACTCCAACTGATCGTCATTCAGTCATTCCCTAGGTACATTTAGCTTACAGTTATGCTTTAATATTGATACATTCTTTATTGTTCTAATTCTCTTACTATTTTACTACAATCTATTTAAGATGTAACAAATAAATACATTTTTAAAAATTAAGATATCACTTCCTATTTCTATGATTCAACATCATACTCTTCTTAAAGAACTCTTGTCATGTAATACAAGGACATTGAATAAAATTCAGCTATCACTTCAGTGGCAGCAAATCCAGCAAGAAAAAGAAAACTTAACAATGGTAAAAAGCCTAGGACTTTTTATTTCAAAAATAAGCATGTGAAATGAGGGTCTATGATGTTTTTCTCAATCTCCTGCTGTGACATTAGTGGAGGTTCAGCAGAAATGGTACGTACCATAATGTCAAGGGATTGAGAAATGTTGTGGACATTCTATCCCAAGATGTTTGCAGTGTTTTTGTACTCTTTTGACAGATTTTGTTTGATAGTTATATGGACAGCATTAATCTGATTAACTATTCTTCCACAGTATGTCACTACATCATAGAATGCCGTATTGCATTGCCCAATATAAATGAAAAAATGGCTAGACAGTTGAATGTGCATATGCTAAGGGATCATTGTTGACATAAACATTACAAGGAATCTAAATGTAAATTGACTGATTCGTCAATATGACCCCATAAGAATCATTTTCAGTTAATCTTCTTTGAAGGGACATATCTTGAACATTTTTCTCACAATTTCCCTCAAATATAGTTTATCATCATTATTATCTTCAAAATTAATTTGTTTTCACATGTATATTGACCATGTCCAAGTCTACCTCACCACCTCCCTTGACTCCTTCAAATTATCAAACTGCTTATCTGACATCAAGTACTGAATGAGTGGAAATTTCCTCCAGTTGGATATTTGAAAAACTGAAGCCTCCATTGTTTTCAGTTTCTGCTCCAAATTCCCTTTTCAAGCTATCAACTCCATCCCTCTCCTGGCCAATAGTGTAAAATTGAGGCAGTCTGTACAATCTTAGTGTCAAATTTGACCCCGAGATGAGCTTCAAACCTCATCATTGAACTATCATTAAGATGCCTATTTCCAACTTCAAAACATTGCCTGAGTTCATCACTGTGTAGGCTCATATGCTGTGGAAAATTTTCTTTCATGCCTGTATTCCTTCTAATCTTGACAATTCCAAGTACCACTGGTCTTCCACATTTTCCTTTTCATATCATGATTTCATCTAAAACTGTTGCTTGTCTCTTACCCACAAAACAAATCCCATTTCCCCTGTTTATCCCTTCGCTCACTAACCCTGTCAAGTATGGTCCTTTCAATTTTAAAGTTCTTAAAATTCTCATCCTTGTTTTCAAATGCCTGCATGTCTTCAGCCTTCATTATCTCTGTGATGTCTCACAACCTTCCGAGTTATCTGTGCTCCTGTAATTCTGGCACGTTGAGGAAACCAGAATCTAATTTATACATCATTAGTGGCTGTACTTCCAGTCACTTAGCTCCCAAGCTCTGA